TAATTAAATTTATTACTAATAAGCTCTCAAATCTCAACACTACCCAATAATATTGGGCCACAGCTCCTTCCACTTTTCAATTTCATGACTATGAAGCTTTTTTATTCCACCATAAAGGCCACCTCCTCCACCATCTGTTTGTTCCCCATCATTCATTTTATTTAGCACCACTCGTCTATAGTGGGAACCAGGAGGGTACTGTCTGAAGTCAATAATCAGCAAATCTAATTATAAGTGATACAATCTGTCAGTTTAACATTAAAACTCGATGGAATGATACCATTTTCCTTAACCAAGTTCGATAAGAGAAAGTATATAGCAATTACAGTAAGATAACAATCAGCATATATGAGCCTTCAATCTAAATCAGGCATTATTCACGCATCTTCTAAAATATGGGAAATTCACTTAAAAGCCTATATCAAGGCCAAGTTTATGCAGTTGAGTTATTTTTACCATAATTTTTTACTCATAAAAAAATCAAAAAATGAGTCATATCATAATTTAAATGATGGAGAGAAAAAAAATCTCACCGCTTAGGTGACAATGACAGAGATCATCCTCCTTGCACGATTCTAAGTGACCAACGATAGCATACCACCAATCTACAAAACATTCACCAACAGGAATGAAATGGACGTTGACACAAGATTGATCTTTCCGATACATAAGGTCATAAGCCACGAAGAAAACATAATATAAAATGTCAGAGCGATAATGCAAAACATCACGGCACTATGAATAAATACACTATGATATTTGGCACAAATATTTAATGAAGTACGGAAAAATGAGCCCCCCCTTTTCTATCAAAATCAATAAGAATTGTAATATCCACTGTACAAAACATATATAGTACCATAAGGGACATTTTTGCTCGATCTCCACTGGACTTCTATATGATCCCCAGGCTTTAAATCATTCAAACAATCAGAAACATGAAGAACATGTGGAGTCTGAGTTGGGGTTGCTCGCAACCTTTCCCACGAAATATTCTGTTCAACCAATCGCCACCCAGAATACCGAGACCTGAAAGATTACAGTGGTTCTGAGTTCAACAAAGACCATGAAGCATAATCAACATTTAGCATTTTGAAACTCACAAAATGTTCCGAAACTGAGACTCATAATTTCGAGATAAATTGTTGGGAAGCTCATAATATGGTCATGGTAAAATTCTCCTATTTTTCAGAATACTGTCCAAGAGGTTCCTATAAGTAGCGGCATCAGAGTCTAGACCCTTCATAAGGCCCTTTAAATTACATTAGATCCTGATCACTACAAGGTTATCCCACCTTTCGTAATTCCTGAAAGCCAAACAAGTGGCATTAAGGCTGTAAATGTGGCATCAGAGACTAGTTATGGTAGGGTTCCTCCCACACGTGGGATTCTCTCCAAAAGATCCCTACAAGTAGTGGTATTAAACTCTGGTTATAGTAGGAACTTAAGCAAGTCAAGTGTAATCCTTAAGGTTTTAAGTAAGTGCTTAATTCTTAAGATTTTGAGTTTGCTTTAAAATTTTGAATTAACATGTCATGTCAAACTCACTTATATACATTCTCTCATAATTTTAGGTCTAAACCCTCAGGAAATTCTCTATGGCTCCACAAATAAGCCTAATTACGGTAGTGTTACCCTGCTTTTAGAATGCTTTCCAGGGCCCCACAAAAATCTAGGTGTAGGTTAAATAATTTGAAGGAAATACTTAAAATACCTTGTCATAAATAGATTTGTTCTCCAATTATAGCTCAGCAGTGCATCATAACAAAGCATATAATCACCACTCTGCAATAAACATCTAAAGTTATTATTTGGCAATATGCATAAATAATGTCCTCATAGTCTCCAAAATAAATTAGTGGAGCTACATTTCAATGCATTAATTAAAGCATTTACCTTATAGACTTGAGCAGGGAACCAGAATTTCCCCTTCTCCATATAGAAATACCAAGCCATCATTGAATATTCTGATAGTGAATTACCAGGCAGTTTGCAATGTTCTAAAAACGATCCAATACAAATAATTGGCCAAACACCTGTGAAAGATCCCAGCGATCCATTTTGAACTTGCTGACTAAAATTATTTTCTCTCCCTCTTGTTGCTAAATGCCATTTCCATTCTTGATAAGCAACATTACCGATTAATTTTCCCCATTTCAGCTTTATTTGCTTTTCCCATAAAAGATCACTTCTACACCTGACTCTCAAGGAAGAGCACACATGTGCAAGTGTGCACAATTCAGCAGCTGTCAAGCACTCAAGAATGCGTTGTAGGGTTAGTTCAGGCAGATCTAAGAGAGAAATCTTACGTTCCCCTTTCTTCTCCTCTTTCGACTCTAAATCTTTCTTCAACATGGTGACCGTGGGACAAAAGAAGGACAGACCTGCACATCCAAGTATCACAAAAACATAAGTATTGACATTGAAAGAAATGAAATATCTTATATTCACTCTATACACCATAGATTGTATAATCTTTCATGCAAAAGCTTAAGTTTGTGTATCAATCACACGTCACAACGACAAGAGACTTTCAACTTTCAACTATATGTCAAATTAGTTGAAACTAAACTGTAGGAGTAAAGCAACCTTTAGTGACGGTAATATACTAAGTAGATCGGCGTAGGTCGCATTTTCTTTTCATATTTGTCGTGAGAAAAAATAAGTTATCTAAAATGAGAAGTAAAAGAGACACGGATGAACGAATAAAAAAAAAAAAAAAAGACTATTAACATTTTCAAAACAGGATAGATGATTCATCTGCAACCCACCTGCTTCTACCTAACTGAAATATGTGCAAGGTTTAATGGAGAGCTACTTTGAACTATTCTTGTAATATGTTGCCCTCATTAAAAATCAATTCACTGAACTCTACAAAAGAAGCTATTGTAATCCTAGATCCTTGAAAATATAGATGTATATGGTTTTTGTGTTAGAGAAGAGTAGGATAAAGAGGATTACTCTGCTCATGGACTATGCTTCAAATGGACAAGAACGCCATACCATCACCTTCTAGGCTACCAACATACCAAAACGATGGTTCAGTTGTTTTGAGTGAAGATTGTGGCACAAGGAGCCGAACGAGGATAGTAGTGGGCTTTTTTAACTCCATAGTTCGATGCTTAGAAAACAACGTGAAGATAGCGACCCAAATGGGATTAAGAAGTCGGCTTTTGACCTCTTGTATAGACATGACAGGCATGATAATAACAACTTTAGATGATTCTAGTCACGATATTTTTTATATGGGCCAAGAACAATGTTTACCAAGTTAGACCCTATTTTAAATTCTTAATAGTGACATTTTTTTTTAATTGAGTTTCCGATAAGAGAATGACAATTGACATATAAGCAGCATCAAAACATGCAAATTGAACAAAGCCGAACGGCGGCAAAAGGAGAATTATCTGGGAAAAGGGTACCTTAGAGAGAATTATTTGGCAAATAGAAGTTGTCATTTCATATAATTGAAGTTATTATTTCTTAAATTAAAATAATCATTCACCTCCGGCTGCAGCACCTGCTCCCAGCCTCCCACCACTCCTTCACTAACGTCATCTCCTCCCTCAGCTACCCCTACTGGGTCTCCGGCACCATCCTCAGTTGCTTGCTAGCTCCTCACCCGCAAATGGTCCTGACGGTGTTTCACCCGCCGGCGGCGGCTATGCTTCTGAGCCACCCGCATGATATCTTGCACCAACCTCTGCGGCATTCTCCGTCAGCAAGGCCTTTGTTGCCCGCACTGCCCTTGTGGGTAAATTTGTAGCCATGGCCATGATTGCTTGCAGCTGGGGAAGGAAGGATTGGTTTCAGTATTCCTGGATTCATCTAGAGGCAATTATGACTTCGAGATAATAGTTGTCATTGCTTAAAATTTTGTTGTCGTCTCATACAATTAAAATTAGCTATTTTAAAGGTAAGGAAGCAGCAGCTCGTGCGAACCAGTGGACCTATCTTTTCATTTTTCCGTTGCTACATCCTCTGCTCTCTCGTTCATTTTTTTTCTTCTTCTGCGGCTTCCCTTTACTTCGTTCTGTTCTATCCGCCGCCTCACTACTCCGGTCGCTCGTTCTTTTTGGTTTTCTTCAGCCGCCGCGTCCTTCCTCTCGCCCCCTCAGCGGCCGCCCAGGTGGCCCCAGTCTCTCAAACCCCAGTTACTCTTCCATTTTTCCAAAAAACTTTTAATATATTTTTTAATATTATTTAATTAATTTTTTGCCATATTTTTTTATATGTTTTTTAATTTTTCTTATTAAAAAATAAAAATATATTTATTTAGTATTCAAGAGACAAATTTACCCTTAGTGCCCCTTGTTCATATTGACCCCATTTTATTAAAAAAACTCAAAATTTGAGATAATAAGAATTAATTCATTTCAATCCAGTTGATCTCGGTTTTTAATTCAACCCTAAAAATCTACATAAAATATAATAATATTCAATAATCACGTGTAAAAATATTAGATGAAAATTTAATCATGAATGTTCAGAGTTTAACTAATGGATTTTTATAAAATTTAAATCGTGGATGTATAATTTATCATATATTATTTATTATTCAACTCATTACATTTTTAAATTATTTTTTTTTCCTGGCCGAATGCTTTTAAACCTGTTAAACACAAAGAAAAAGATGCTATTTTTTCAGATATCTAATATCTTAAAATATTTATGTTATATGCATTTATTCAGCACCTACTTAATAATATTTTAGTATGTACATTAAAAACAGTTTGGAGTACTAAACATATCTAAAAAAAATACTTTTAACATATTGAATGTATCAAAATATAATTTAGAATGTGAACATATCCAAAAAAATATTTTAAAATTTTAGTGTTAGATGCCTTATAAAATATTTTTTAAGGTGCTTAATTTATCTAAAAAAATATTTTAAAATGCTGTTGTATGTAGGAAAATAAGAAACTTAAATAAATAATTAATAAGTGAAATTGACAAAATGCTTGTAAGGCGGCAAGGCCCGCCATTTTGGTGGGAAGAAGAGAGGGGGTGGGATAAAAGGAATCGAGGCGGCCGGAGAAATGGCGGGGAGGGTTATGGCCTCAATAGCGCTCAGTAAATCTCACTCGTTCAAGAATCTTTTCTCAAATTCTCTTCTGTTTATTCCTCGCTTTTACCAGTTTGCACTTCGCAGTACCAGGTACTGTTCTCTTTCTTATGTTTTCACTTCACCTTTACGAATGTGAGAAATTATTAAAAAGTGATAGAAATCGATATCGGTGCTTGCATTATTTGACCGACTACTTGGCATTTTCAGGCGTAATTAAAATAGAGAGAAACCGAGTGATAGCATTTTCGATGTCCTTTTTTTTCTTTTTCTTTTTCCTAACCTCGAGTGGTTTTCTCTTGGAAAAAATTGGCTATATTTGTCTATTTTATGGTTCATGATGCTTCGGAAGTACAAAAATATGTTTGGCGATTATACGGCTTCATACGTATGCAATTATATTTCATCTCTATAAATAATAATGGGAGAGTCCTGTCAGGTAATTGCACAAAATTTTGAAGCAAGATGTGACAGGTCTTTTAGAATGCAAATAGTGAAGGTGAATGATATTGCAGCGACATATTACATTGTTGGTTTTAGTAGACACTCCGGAAGGTATAAATCAATCCAAAGATGTTTGATATTGTAACGTTGAATCTTCTGCATATCTACAACAACGCTGAAGGTCATTCATGTTTTAGTTCGGTTAATTTGCAAAACCCAAATCAAAATCTATAGAATGAGTTGTCTGAATATTGATTTGCACTGCAGTAGCTTGAACTCTGTAATAAGCAAGGCTTATGGTCTGAAGTCTAGTTTTGTCTACCGCTATGACATAAAAACATCTCCTTTCTTGGGACACCTATGTATTCATTCGGGTCCATGTCTGAACTCTGGTGATAAAGTTGTAGAGCAACTTCAGGATTCTGAAGACTCCTCTACTGTTACTGGTGCTTGTAATGGCAAAATAAAGAGGAAGAAACTAAAGGGGAAAAGGGCAGTTGTAAGGTGGCTGAAGTTCTTTAGATGGAAGAAGAAGAAAGATTACGGAAGAATGACAGCAGAAGAAAAAATACTATACAAATTGAAAAAGGTAAATTCTTGTTTTCTTGCCCAAGCCTCACTTGTAGGTGCACATTTCTATCTCAATTTGGTTTGCGCCATCAACTCTTGCCCAATGTCTTCAACTACTTTGAGTCTGTTTTCTTTTTCCTTTTATGCTATTGTGCTTGTTATGTGGCTAAACTTCCTTGTTTGCTATTACATTCACCATAAAGCAGCTTGTATTTTGCCTTTAAGATTAAATTGAACAGAACTTGCACTCATCTTCCTTCCTATGTGCAACAAGTTACTTTAACATGGTGAACTTCACGATAGGGGGGAAAAAATTCTGTTCTCGTTGGTGCGCTTCAGTAGATGCTTCAATAGTCTATTCACATTTCATGCATGCATTTTGGTGATTTAATAAAACCTGTTGATTAAAGAATCTGTTCATATTACAAAGTTTGCTTATAATTTTACTTTGCCATGTAGATTCATTCTCTATGTTTTGTCTCTTAGGTAGGTATATTTCTAAGATTCTTATTGTTGTTTATTTGTTCTCTAATTGCATAATTTTCCTGCGGGGCATATTTTTCCAAGTTGTAGGATAGGTGGATTATTAGGAAGAGAAATAAAAAGAACGATTGATCATATTATCAATTTTAGATAACTGAAGGGTTGAACCTCTTTAAAGAGCTTGCTCTGGTTGGATGCGGTAGACTTTTCCGGCCTAGCAGTAGAGATTTTTTAGGTGTTTGTTTGAATCCTCTATGCGAGAAGGGGACTTTTCTTGGCAATTTGTAACTATGAAATCGGTTTCTGTCTTTCACATAGATGCAAGTGAAAGTGAAAATGAATCGGGCGTATGTTAATGCTGCTACAGAGAAGTACCTGGGCCAAGCATAATGTGCCTGTAGTTAGCAGGCTTCTCTATGCTGAGAGTACTGGATACATGTGAATTTGACTTTCCAAAACTTGCCCAGAAGATTAGAACATCAGAAAGCAAGGAAAGGAGCAAACTCTCTGCTCATCTTAGCTAATATTTAATGGTAGAACTTTGTGCTTTGTCACTGGATAATATCTGGGTGACTGCTGTTGGGTTTGGTGGAATTGGTGCCTATGAAGAGGGTGATTATAAGTTACTCAATGCGCTTTCTCATGTTACAACATTCTGTGTCGCACAGAGCAAACTTTGCCTTGTCTAATAAGGTCATCCCTAGCAGTTCTATATGTGGTGTGTTCTTACGCTGGGTTTTGAGAAATCTCAGCATAACTATGATAAACTCATCTTAATTGAAAGTTTCTTAAGGCTTATGATACCTCAATCCTATAGAGTGTATTTAGATCATTATTGCTTAATAATCAGTTGCAACTCACTTGATTTGTATTGCATGCATAGTAACTGCTCATGCAGGCCTGAATGACTGGGAATTTGCAAAGACTAGCCTTTTACTTGCAATGTTGTCTAATTTATACAAGATCAATTTATTTTGGATCTTGATATACACTATTTGAAGCTTTTTTGGGTTATTTTTTCAGATGGCATTCTATGCGAAAGTCTTATTCAGTGTTATCTAATTGATGATGTGGTATTGTATGAGCATGTAATGTGGTTATGTGGCGCTTAGTTTGCATGCTTCAAGTCTTCAAATTGTATCATGAGAATGACAAGGAAACCAAGGATTGACAGACAAGAACCACCAATGATCTCCATCCTTTTCTATTTCAAAATCCATTCACCTCTGACACTCTCCTCCTTAATTGACCCACTGATGGCCTGCTGCTTGAATAGCCTAAAGCAACTAGGCACAAGTTTTATAAACATTGCGGGACAATTTTGCTTCGTTTACATTAGCATTACAGTGCGCTAATGTATTGTGTTTGGGAATGGAGGGCAGCGACTACAAAGGAGTTGAATAACACTGTTTCTGCTAATAATAGTGTTTTCTTGTCTTTTCTTTTTTTCCCCTCACATGACTGAGAAAACATGTATCGAGTTATATTTTGGTTCACCGATATGTGTTTTATGTCTGTCAGTTACATCAATTAACCAATTTTCAATGCTTTCTTCACTGTTCTAGGCTCGGAGAAAAGAAGAGAGGCTTCTTGAAGCTCTGAAGAAGATTGAGCCTGCAGAATCATCAGAAACAACCCATGATCCTGAGATATTGACGCCGGAAGAGCACTTTTTCTTCCTAAAGATGGGCCTTAAATGTAAAAATTATGTGCCTGTTGGAAGACGGGGAATATACCAAGGTGTAATTCTGAACATGCATCTGCACTGGAAGAAACACCAGACTTTGAAAGTGGTAGTGAAGACGTTTTCACCAGAGGAGGTCAAGGAGATCGCTGCAGAGCTGGCAAGACTTACGGGAGGGATTGTGCTTGACATTCATGAAGATGACACAATAATAATGTACAGAGGAAAGAACTATTCTCAGCCCCCAACTGAGATAATGTCTCCTCGGGTTACTCTGTCAAGGAAGAAGGTATGGTGGCTTTTTTCATGTCCTCTTTTTTTTGTCCAAGCTTCTGTTCAGTTTTTGGCCCGTCTCTTCTAAGAGTAATAGAATGAAGTTTCCATAAATTTGGTACCTCAAATTCCCCTTCTTACCTATCGGAGGTGCTCACAGTCCTTTCTTTTTTTTTTTTTAGTTGTATTTTTTGGGCTTGACTTCACCATTAGTGGAAAACTTTGAGGCGATAGAGCTAGAAATTCTCGGTTATTTTTCATGTCTAAATGACTAGTGTCTTTACATAGCTAATGGTCTTAATGTTGGAAATATTCATATCAGTGGTCAAATTGTCATTCCAATTGAGGCTGAAAAATGACAATTTTGATTAGTGGATCTTAATTTCTGAGATATGCTCACAGTATCTTTAGTAGCTGCTGTATTGTCAGAATTATTAATATTTACTTCATTCTTAATTTCTTATGCAGGCATTGGATAAATCCAAGTGTCGGGATGGCCTTCGAGCTGTGAGGAGATATATTCCGAGACTTGAGCAGGAGCTTGAGATGCTTCAAGCGCAGCTCAAGAGCAACGCCGATAGCAAAATAGATGCTGCTGAGGAAAACCAGAAAATTGATTACAATGGGAGTATTGAATCCGGTAGCGTTACAGAATTCCAGTCAGGGAATGCAGATAAACTTTATGAAATAATAAACAAGAACAATGAGTGCCCCGAGGGTGAAGCTGATATGGACACAGAATTGGATCCAGATCCCGAAGATTTATCAGACATCTTCGAGATTGACTCAGAGACAGAGGACGAAATAAAAGAGGAACAACCTCTATATTTGGACAAATTTGAGAAATTTCCAGATCAGAATGGCGGGGAAATCGATGACTTCGAGGAGCATTTACGACAAATATCTCTGAAGTCCAAAAACTCCAACTCTACGGAAGATGTGGACTTGCCCAAGTTTGATGAAGTTGACAGGATTGTGCTGCGTGCAGCGTCCCTCTTAAAGAAAAAGAGAACATGAGACTTTTTGCGGATAATAGGTGCAATCTTCGTTACAGAAAAGGGGGATCAACTAGGGAAAATGGAGATTGCTCAATTTTTATTGAAAACAATGGTAGTCTTCTTATTAGAATGGAAAAAACGAAAGGTTTCCGTTTTTGGATTGACATCGATCATATGGAGTATGGAGTAAAAGAGAGATAGGCATAAGTCATAACGCAGCAAATGGTTGCGAAACCGCTGGGAATTGATATGATCTCACGCGTTGGTTCGCAGTTGATTGCTAATGTGATATCTGAAAGAAAAGAAGGCTTCTCATTTCTTGGGCGGAGTGAAATTGGTTCGCGAAGCACCCCAGAGATTCTAGAAAACAAGCTGTTGTCATTTGATATGATATCACCCGCAATTTATTGCCGCACAACGCCGTACACAATTGAAGAAAACATGACTGCTGAGATAGAAAGACGATGCAACAGAGAGGGGATGCGCAGTAGGCAAGGGGGATAGCGCTCTGCGGCGGGAGAATGAAAATTAGCGGGCAGGAGCAGATGAGAAGGTTGGGGTGGGGCTAATTTTGTAATTGACATAATAATTACTCAGGAGGAATCAGGGCTCTCAATTTTGGGAGAAGTATCTCAAAGGACGAAAATGCCCCCCAAATTCGCTTCTCGCATTTGCTTCTCGGCTCCTCCTCCATCTTCTTTTTCTTGACACTACTTCCAGCTGCCGTCTCTCCGCCTCTACGCAAACCCCGTCCCATCGCATTCATTATCGCTCGTCAAACTTTGCTTTTTGATCACTGCTTGATGGTCGTGGGTTACCTTCTTTGGCAACAACTTCTCCTCCGACGCACTTCCTCCCCTGCGTGGTGTCATCTCTTGAAGGACATGACCGAGGCAACGGCTCCTTCAAGTTTAACTCCCTCCGAACTCTCTCTGTCCAGTTCTTTGGCGGACTAACCTCTCGTGCAGGTTTCTTCGCCGGACAAACCATTTTTTCATGATTATATTTGCATATGGGTTTAGGTCTGAATGAAATTAAAATGGATTGATTCGAATATGTGGTTGGTGAAATTTCTTGGTTTCGAATCTGATAAAATTTATAGATTTTGCAAATTTTGGTTTTGAATACGCGGAGGTGAACTACAGTGAGCAGAAGCAGCAGCATATAGCCCCCCGCGGGGGAGGAATGATGCATTGCGTGTAAGGGTATTTTGGATATTCCATTTTTCTTTTTCCACTTTATCACCGTGTTTTTTTATCGTGAATTATAGGGAATTCGTCCGCATGCGAATTGGACTTGTGCCCTTTGTACTTACATCTCACCTTTTTGTTATATTTTATAATTTATAATTGATCGGATATTTAAATTGTAATTTTCTGTGAATTTAATTGTTAAGAGACAAAGGTAATGGATTTAAAGAGTTCCTTCTTCCGGCCATAGTATAAAAAGTTAAACTCTTGAATCCTTTGTCATTTTTTAAGGATTTGTCTTTCACAAATCCCGGCATTGATTTGAATCGCATTTGCACCCCTCTACTCGAGCCTCATCGAAAAGTACAAAATATTGGATGACGAGAGGAATTGCTTTCTATTTTTGCTGGCCATACAACAGGCAAGAAGGGAATGCAAATTTACATGGGATCGATCGAAGTCCCAGTCACAGCGTAGAAATAAGCCGGGTGCTGTTGTGCAAGCTTACGCGTCTTCTCATTTACCTTTCCGTTTGAAGCTGGCGATCTCTCAACTACCACGCCCGTTGAAGAGGCCTTGTGGTATGATATTTTCATTTTCACAAGTCATAATTACAAGCAAAGTAACCCAGTTGTGTGCGGCAAAAGGCCGAAGGAACAAACGATGGTTGGGTTTTCAGTGAGTTCGGCGTTCGATTCCAAATCTGGGCAGATGATAATGATAGCTTTGCTGCTCATGATTGTCTCCTTTTATGCGGGCACCCTTTTTGGCAACAATGTTCCCATTTACGCATCCCAGCTTCTCTCCAATTCTTCTATTCGTTCTTCATTTCTGGTAACTTTTTCATTTCTGTATCAACTAACTTTTTTTTAAACTGGTTTTTATCGTTGGCGTTTATATTGCTTTTCTGGGCTTTGGGTTCGTGCCATTTGTTTCCAGTTTCTTGAAATGCAACATTTATCGAGCCCTTTTTGCTGATCTTACAGGAATTTGATTCTTGAGCTATGATGCTTTCTTGGATGCGATTGATTAAATAGCTAATTGTTTCTGGACGGACCTTGTATTATTATCGTTATCATTATTATTATTGAGAGGTATCTGGGACATGGTCATGGTGAAATTGGCAGTTTGAACGTTTATTTAAATTCGTTTTGAAACCTATATTAAAACTTGTGGTTGCTGAGTGCATTTGTTTCTGAATTCTCATTTTTCCAGTGCTTATATACTTAAATGCTGAAGCCAACTGTAAAGGGAATGGGGGTTTGTAGCAGCCACTTGTATCATTGAGTATCTTTAACTTTTTAAATTAATTAAATATATATTAGTTTCTTTAAACGCTGTCAAATCCAAGTGTTAAGTACCCCGCTCCAGACAATGCAGAGGATATCTTTTATTCAATAGCATAGCTTTCTGATGAGAAGAATGATGAGTACTCTCCGTCTCTTATTATAATATCTAATTTTTTGAATTGATTTGTCCCTATTTATGATATCTTTTTTGGATTTGTCTAAACAATAAATGCCTTAATTAATATACTCTCTCTCATTATCTTTTTTCCTTACATTCTCTCTTTTTTTTTCCTCACTCGCACCTACCCATTTATAAATAAGGGCATATTTGGGGGGGGAAAAAGTACATTTCCAACATATTTATTGCTTTTAACTAATTTTAACAGTTTTCTTAAACCACGTAATATAGTTAAGTGAATCTTATAATAAGGGACAGAGGGAGTACGTCAGAATATATGATCAACAAAATATTTACCTAGCTTTTTCTTTCTTTTCTCTATGAAAAGTTGAAAACCTACATTGGTGTTTGTCACTTGATGACTTCTATAAAACACTGGTCTTTTTAATTACATCTAGCTCTGCAAATTATGTGATTAGTACTAAAATGTTTCTTACTATTTTAGGCACATCAAGATTCACTAACAGAATTGCTCTGACTTATCGCAAAACGCCCCCACTGATTCCTGAAACTGGGATGGATGTATGCCCTTTGAAGTACAACGAGTATATTCCCTGTCATGATTTTTCCTATGTGGCAACGCTCCAAAACGTCGATTATTCTAGAAAAGAAGAACTGGAGAGGCACTGTCCTCCCCTTGAAAAGCGCTTGTTTTGCTTAGTTCCGCCACCGAAGGATTATAAAACACCTATTAGATGGCCTATCAGCAGGGACTATGTTTGGCGAAGCAATGTGAATCATTCAGTTCTGGCAGATGTCAAAGCAGGCCAAAATTGGGTGCATGAGAAGGGTCAGCTCTGGTGGTTTCCCGGGGGTGGTACCCATTTCAAGCATGGAGCACCTGAGTACATTCAAAGGTATCTGTATTTCTCTCATAAGGGTGATTTTACACAAGTAAGCTAGCCGTCAGTAAATGGTCATTTTCCAATAATGTGAATTATATGGTGCCTTCACTCATGCAGGTTAGGAGCTATGATAACAAGTGGTAAGGGTGATCTGCGTTCTGCAGGGGTGACCCAAGTTCTGGATGTCGGTTGTGGCGTGGCCAGTTTTTCTGCTTATCTTCTTCCCTTGGGACAAACAATGTCTTTTGCACCCAAGGATGTTCATGAGAATCAAATTCAATTCGCATTAGAGCGAGGAATTGCTGCAATGATTGCTGCATTAGCCACAAGACAACTACCATACCCTTCTAGTTCATTTGAGCTGATTCACTGCTCGCGATGCCGTATAGACTGGCATGAAAATGGTAATTGGCCTTTCTCACTGTTGTTTATGTTTTGGCATTTGATTGCACATTGAGAGTCCAAATTGACATTGAAACGATGTCTGTAGTGCAGATTGACCAATGTAGAGGATTTGCAAACATAAAACCATCCTATGACTAGTGCATTGTCACTCTGTTGGGGTTAGCCTTGTCTCTATGTTAAATTATTTTGTTTTCTGCAGATGGGATTTTGTTAAAAGAGCTGAATCGCCTTCTTCGTTCTAAGGGGTATTTTGTCTACTCAGCTCCCCCTGCTTATAAGAGAGATAAAGACTTTCCTGTCATTTGGGATAAGGTGATGACCCTGACAACAGCAATGTGCTGGAGGCTCATTGCCCGAAAAATTCAGACAGCCATATGGATTAAAGATGATGAGCCCTCATGCCTCCGGCAAAATGCAGAACAAAAGCTTATAAGTCTCTGTGATGCCGTAGATGATTCTAAGCCTTCATGGAATATCCCGCTGAGGAACTGTCTACAAGTTAGAAATTCTCATGGAGAGTCTCACAAGCTTCCTCCACAACGTCAGCGCCTTTCCGTGTTTTCTGAGAGCCTGAGCAAGATAGGTTGGCCTATTCTCATGTTAATGGATCACTCTTGTTAAACTCTAATCTTTTGATATTTCTGACTTCCATCATATTATAATTAGACATGGCCTTTCAATCGAAAGCAATAATTTTCCCCCTATTTTACAACAGGTATAAACCAAGATGAATTTACATCAGACAGTAGCTTCTGGGAAGATCAAATTCGCCAGTACTGGAAACTGATGAATATCAAAGAGACAGGAGTACGCAATGTGATGGATATGAATGCCTATTTCGGTGGCTTTGCAGCAGCACTGAATAACTTTCCTGTTTGGGTGATGAATGTAGTTCCTGCTAGCATGAACAATACTTTATCTGGAATTTATGACCGAGGACTCATTGGAACTTATCATGATTGGTAAAATATCCTAAATATTTTTCGTGGCATTTGCCATTATTATATACTATAAATATGAGTTAGCAGCACCAACAGCTAATTTCCAATATAAATACATGATTAGGTGTGATCCATTCTCAAGCTATCCTCGAACATATGATTTGGTGCACGCCTACCACCTCTTCTCCCACTACGATAACCAGCAAGAAAGATGCTTACTGGAGGATATCTTACTTGAGATGGATCGTCTAATTCGCCCCCTGGTAATTAATTGCTTCTCATCGGTGCTGTTTTGTTATAATTATTGTCAATTGTCAATTGTCAATTCACAACGATGTTTATTACTTCTACTACTGCTATTATAATGTTGCTACGTTAAATCCGTTTCCTTTCGTCTAATTTTCCCTAGTTTGCACACCTACCTTAGTCTTGCCTTATCATCCATGTTTCTGATGCCAAACTGCACTTCCTGCTATTTGTAATTCCTCGTGCTGTAGCTGCTACTTACCAAGTGAATAACATCAATGCAGGGATTCATCATCATTAGGGATGAGGATCATATTTTGTCAAGAATCCAAGAGATTGCCCCAAAATTTTTATGGGATGTGGAGTCACATTCTCTACAGAACAAAGAGAAGAAGATGGAAACCGCTTTAATTTGTAGAAAAAAGTTTTGGGCAATCGTCTAAGGTATATTAATTTGACCATTTCGTATAGGTGAGATTAAAAGGGCAAAAGAAGGTGAATTGAGGGAAATTTGAATAAAAACTCACTGAACTAGAAGCCCCTCCATCTTTCCTCTCATGTAGGTCCAGTGACCCTGGTCATTCTCTACTCTCTAGGTGGTGTTCGGCATGTTAAAAAAAAACATTTTGAAATATTTGGAAATTAATTTATAAAATGTGCGATTATAACGATTATTCATAGTGAATCAAACGCGACCTAGGATTCAATTTGTTGGTTGTGGGGTGATGAAATAGGGCGGGTGAGGAACCCGGAGAGCGAGTCTGATTGTAGGTGGCACTGGAAATAGCTTTGGATCTGCTTTGCTCCGATGTCCGACCTCTAATTCCGGGTTCCTCCTTCGCTTGCTTTTCGATCAGATCCCGATTCGGTGTCCTCGCACCCATACCCATGCCTCGCGCCACGTGCCCAGAGATGTAGAGAGCGAAGGTGATTTAACGGCTTGGGAGTAAACAGATGACAGGTCATATTCTTCCATCATTTAAATAAAAGATTTTAAAGACATGAATTTTGAATGTGAGATTTAAAATTTAAAATTCAAATAGAAAATCATAAATACCACCTTAATGTACTAAAAGGAATTGTTGGCCACCTTGGCGGATTGACGTACTTTTTTCACATGTTAATGCTTGAGTTATTCTATGATATTTTGTTTATTTGTGATGTATTATGGGAAAATCAGTTAGTCTCCGATTGTTCTCCGCATTTTAGAAAATAAAATTACAATTAGAGTTTTTTTTTAAAAAAAATTGAGACTAATATTTTGGTGGTTAAAATTAAAGGAACAAAGTTACGCTAAATCAAAATTTAAGGACTGAGTTCGATTGAATTAAAGTCCATAGATTATAGGAATTTTTTTTCAATTTATTGATTTTTTATACCGCATTAATCAGCTGTGCATGCTGTCATCTGCGAAACAAGCAGTGCTCCATATGAAACCTGACGCACGCGATATTAATTGTAGTTTAAAAAATCAACTGTAGTATTAATAAGCTTATTAGTTAATATTGTAATTAATTTTGTTTAATGTTTAAATTTGTAATATCTTATAAATCCTGATATTATCACATCTTTTATATTAAAAAAGTACCAGTCTGGCTGGCCAGCTTACTATGCTTATGGCCCATATGATAATGGGCTGACCCATTATACCCATTCCCGAGTATTCTTCGTTTGAACGTGATTATGAAAATTAGATGAGGGAAACCTAAAGAATACGTGAGAGGGGCCATAGAAACAGAAGCTGAAAAGACAAGCCAAGACCACGCTAGCCCCCAAATTTGGCATTCCATGATTTGATTTCATCTTCTTCTCTTCTTTCTGGTTTTCTTGGCCTTTGCCTCTCCCTTGTCCATAGCCCAATAAGCTCACTTCCTAATAAATTATAATTCTACTCTTCTCAATTTTCTTAAATCACTTTTTTATAGTTTTATTGGAGTATATGCATACTCCTTGTGCTCCCAAATGCAGAAACTATTTAAGAAGTTTGGTTTAGTTCTTAATGCAATATCCTAATAGTTGAAGGTATCTTTTGAAAATAAAAACAATTAAGTTAATTTAACTTTTTTCCCCTATACTTTTAGAATATGGACAGGGATACCTTGATAATGGTGGCCGAGGGTTTCGTCAGGGTCGATTGGTGACAGTTAGGAAAATAATGTATTAAAAGAACAAAAAGGAAAGCTTTCTTTATGTTTGGTCCAATGGAAAAAGGAGCTTTAAACTGTTTTAGGCCCAGGCAACAGTACTTCAAATATATTCTTATTCCTCTCCTGCCAATGCAGATCTTCTTCTGCTTTCAATCTCATATCCAACCAAAAAGGTCACTCAAATCTTTCTCAATCTTTTGGGACACTGCTTCCCATAACTAGGATAATATCATCAAAAGCATGATGTCGAGATAACTATACAGTTAAAAACCCTTAATTTGAAAAGTATATATCTGTTGGCAAAAAAAGAAAAGAAAAGAAAAGAAAAGTATATATCTATATTAGAATTGAAATCGGAAGATGTTAATTAATACTAACATTTTGAATTGCATAAAGTATAATTAGTTCTAATTTCAAAATGCCCCATTGATTGCAGAGAAGGAACCCATAGCGTATTATTGTCAAATAGATTTGGCAAGAAATAAAGACCCAGGTCATGTCGGCAAAGCTTTTATATGTAGAATATGCTTATTAATTATAATTTGAGCCACGTCGATGCCTTCTTCTTTTTTTCTTTTTTCTGTCCTTTTATTTTTGGGTAATCACATAATTTGTGTGATTCATGTAGTTTTACAAAATCTAAATGGAAAAAAAAAAAAGGCACTTTTAGTGGCGTTTTTTGAACACCAATTTAACGAGCCGCGAAAATTAATGTGTTAGCAACAATTTCAGTTGAAGCAGCTTTCATTAACCACGAATAATAGTGGTTACGCAACTCTGCCGCACGTTAAATACATGCCATAAGTAGTGATTGTCACGTGATATTAACCTAATACTTGTCTAAACTCTTAGGCAATTTACAGCGAATTTTTAACATTGTACGAGAAAATGTCTTCTTTTTAACATTTTCCTATATGTATCATTAGTGTCCCTTTTTTGGAGGTTCAATATCATGGTGCAACTTTAATGAATTGATGATCAAGGGACAAGAGGGGAAGATTGTATGAAATCGAGAAAGATAAAATATTCTGTGTCAACCAAAAGTGGAGAAAAATACTAACAGCTCATAGGATACCTTTTTCTTCTTCAGGCCACTTCGCATCGACTGCTATTGCATGTCGGGAATCCCTCTTTAGGAATTCCCACGAAGATTATCTCACTTGCAATTTTCTTCTCTCTTCTTTCTCGGCAGCAAATTGCATTATCGATCTTAATTCATATTCTCCATTATGCTTTTTTGCTAAAGCTTCCTTCAAGACATGGATGGTTCAACTTTGCCCACTATTATATATCTTGTGGGTAGAAGAAATATTGATGGAGATTAGATTCTTCAGTATACGTGCATATCAGCAGAAAATAATCTATCACGTTTATATATAATCTTAATGTATATATGCACCTAGCTAGTATATGTGCATATCAGCATATTTGATATGCATATATACAATACACACGTCAAAACATATTAAGTGCATATCAGCATAAAATAATCTATCACGTTTATATGTAATTTTAGTATTCTTTGATGCCAGTGTGGGGATATTATGCTTTTGAGAATTGTGTGTGTGTGTGTGTGTGTGACTTGTCTTTCTATTAAAATAGTTTAAGTTATTTGATAGGATTTACCTTTAAGATTATATACTTTTAATTCATTCTTTCGCAGAGATCCACAATCTTCATTTTTCATTTCTTTTCTTCAGTCTTGTTTTATCTCTCTTTTCTTGATACCATATTAGTCTTTGGAGAATTAAGTATATATTAGGTTCAACTTTCTAATAAATAGTTCACTTCATTTGATAGAATTTACCTTTAAGGTTACGTAGTATGCGCGCGCGCACACACCCTTTAATTTATCCTCCAATGTCAGTGTAGGACTTTAACAAGTATATAGTGGAATCGAAGCACTTTGTTCATCATCAACACTTTAAGAGAATCTTTATATTTATATTATAACTGGTCATACAGCAAATTGTTTGAGCGCATCTTTTTTGTGATGAGTGTTGCAATAAGGAAATTGAAGGAGTTAAAAAAGGTATGGTTGAGAATATTATGATGTTACGGAAACAGTGGACAATCTTCAGCAAGTGCGGGTAAGGCGTCCACTTCGCAAGCTTCTTTTTTGGGCTTTCAGCACAACAGAGTTGGTCTCTCAGATTCATCCTATTTTTAGCTTTCGGCATTAACATTCATGTGTAATTATAACAACCACTCCATTGTTTAATTCAATATCATATCAGTCTGTTTTTAAAGTTAATTAATTGGATAAGGGTGACCCTATGTGTGTTGTCCGTGATCTGTTGCTTTAGAGGAGATTCTCTAACGTGGCTCATCCTCAACCTTCTATTTCCATTTTCATTATAATTAGTCATTGAAAAGAAAGAAAGAAAAAAAAAGAATTGGCATACATATATGCTCCATTTATCGTGGATATTCCAGCCAGTTTTTGTTTGTCTTTCATTTTCCTTTAATTAAAAAAAAAAGAGGCAGCTTTAAACCCCATTAGTACAGTAAGGAGAAGGGAAAGAGTGAAGGTGAAAAGAACTGGAATGCTCGAATATGGAAACGAGAAAAGCAAGAAGTGGCCAAATACTGCACACGTCCGTAGACAGGAAGACACAGAGAGAGAGAGAGAGATGGGCGCACGAACTGATAAAGAGTGGAAGTTGTTCAGAGTGTGGCGGAGAAATCGATGCCCCATGGGACTCAGCGCCCTTCACAAATTGAACCCGCAAAGGTTCATATTGACAAAATCAAAATACTAATCACAATTGTTATCAGGGGAAAAAAAAATACCAGTCATAATATTAATTATGTAAAGAATTTCCATAAATGTTACGTTATAAATTAATTACTTATAAGATTTAATTATATGAAGGTGAAAAAAATAGAAAAATAATTATTAAATTGAACTCATATTAGGTCAAGTCGAAAGACACGTCTTGATAAAACGTCAGGGAAATTAATTAGCTAATGAATTGAGGGGGTGATGGGGCGTCGGGCGATGTATAAGGTTCCATCTGTCGAATAGAAATAGTACGGCATCTCCCGTGGGGGTCCGATTCGACCGACTCGGAATTCAGAGAACACAACAGAGCACGGCGCCTCTCTCTCTCTCTCTCTCTCTCTAAATCTCCCCACTCCCATCGTCCTGTCTTGTCTGCATCATATATATATATGTATAGATATTCAAACCCCCCCTTCTTCTCTTGTCAAATCATTCCCTGGCCCCTCGCTATATCTGTAGCTGCTCGGTAATTTTTATTTGTAATCTTGTAAGACTTTAAACATAATTAATGTCAGTGAATTTTGTTTTCATGACGTCCATTATCCATCGAACCAAATTCTAGTGATTGGTGAATGTGTACTTGTTGGTGCCATTTTCCTTTTACTCCAATCATCATGAATTGACAGTAACTTGCAAATGTTTATTTTCAAATTTATGTATTTGGATTAACTTTTTTAAAAATAATTTTATAACATATAAGTAAATATAAAAAAATGTGTATCAATATGCATAAAAATAT